GCACAAAATTGTGAATAAATGATTAGTGCATCAACCGAAAGAAAATGAGTTGACTTCATCCACCAACTAAAAAGTTCTGCTAGTTTTCCTACCACGACACTCACGAATTCACCACTTGCCCAAAACGGCTGATCTCGATTGTTTCATCAAAATATGAGTCTTACATAACAACAAATGCACAGCGAGTTTGAGTTTGAGTTATTTTTTACAAAATATATGCCAAGGCTTAAAGTTGCAACAACGCTACAAACGTAAAAACGTATTTTAATTGATAAATAGACAATAAATGACTGAAGCCCAGGAATTGATTTTGATTGGTTGCTAATTATGATTCCATCCACTTGCTGCCAAGTGGAGCAATTTAAGCAGATCCTCATCCTTCCTTGAGTGAACTAAACGAAATATTATCTCTCGCTAACGAGCATCTAATCGCTTAAAGACACAAGTGGATTCGCTACTATTGCTGATAATAATTGTCAAAGAGCCTGCATCGTTCACTTTCCAGCCGTGGCCTCAACAGTTCCTCAAACGATAACTTCTCAAAAGATACGCAGATCGGACGTGGTTGGCTGAGATCGTAGTCGGATTTTTCGCATGCTTCAGTCAACCCATTGAGATATCCGCTAGAGTTTAGCCATTGTTTCGCTATGCTGATGATAAGCTGAGGCAATTGTGGCGCTTGCGACTTTGCGCCCCCATAAAGTCTGACCAGATGCGATAGTTTGTCTTGCTCGTGCCCTCAATGTTAGTTAAAAAATTACCCGTTTTGGTTGAAGCCCTTCAAAGCTCACGCTGGGCATAAACAGAGGTAGAAGCTAAGCAAATAAGCGGATTCTCTGTGCCAACTTTACAGCTTCCTCCGCGGGAATTTAAATTTGCGCGTCTTTTTGCCCGTAAGTCTTGATGGGTCGATTGAGTTTGACTCTAACATCTGATTGACTGGCGCTAAAAAAGATTTCTTACAGTGCAAGTTTCCACGCAAAGCACGTTTTTCCAAAAAAAACTCATTAGTTTGAAGCAATTGATGAATGAAAAAATTCGCAATGTTACCTTAGCAAGTAAGGTCAGCAAAATGATAAGAACCTCGAAGAGAGAAAGCAGCGAAGCAAGAGAAACGCCTAAGAGAGTGGCTGAACAACATAATGGCCCCATCCACTGTGTGAAAAATAAAGTGCCATAAAATTATGGAGTTTTATTCAACCCTAAAAACGCAGTCTCTATCAAACGTTTTAGATTATATATAATGACCAGAAGGCTTTACACTGAAAGCAAAATTTACGAGTAAGACTTTATTAGGGCATTAAAATCAAGTTATGAATCGCTCGGTGGCAATCAAAGCGCACATAAAATCGACTAATGCGATTATTTTTTGAAAGGAAAGGCCCTTTTGTGCGGCTAATTGTCGCAGTTATCGTATCCACGTTTTATAGTTTGATTCAATGATTGTCTGAATTTGACTCTTCATTTGTGCATTCCTAGTAAAATCTGTGGGTGCAAGTGAACTGGTAGCTCTTCAAGAATGCAAAATTTAACAAAATTGACACTGTTGTCGTAGTTTTGAATTGATTAGCTAGGACAACAATGTCACTTTTGATAACTTTTGCGTACTCGACTCCTGAGGGCTCAATAGTCGATTGGTCCAGGCCGGAAGCGGTGAGATTGCATGATTTGCATGTATTTTTTACGTTCATTGCGAAAGTTGAACCAACACTTGAGCATTTTTGATGGTAATACGATTATTTGGGCAATTCTTAAGAAATTTGTCTAGTTTTCAATACGGCTACTAGTAACTACTATTAATCATTTGTCACAAATTGTATTTATTTCATTAGTTTCCATTTAGTTTTATCGACAAATTTTCAGCTTAATTGCAAAACGGCCAAATCTAAATTATTATTAACGATAGATAAGTTCTATATTGTTGAGGCGGATTCATTTTTTACAAACTTCTTTTTGGGCATTTTGCCTTAAAAATTTTTGTCTTTAAAAAAGTCTTTTATTACAGATTGATAAATAGTGCTCCTATTTCGCAATAAGAACGAATTATTTATCAAAAAGTAATCA